GAACTGCAATGTGATTGAATGTAACTGACACTTGATTGACATCTGTCACCAGGTTAGTGAAAAAGCAACGGTGCTGTTGAATGCAGTTAATTTGACCGGGCCTAACTGCACAAAGGAGGTCTGCGATGCCATTATCCAAGGGAAATATACATTTGTCTATGTGGTAATTTATTTAATTCAGGATAGATCTTACAATATTCTCGTGCTGACGGCTGTACAATTTTTGCTTACAGAGCCCTGAAGTCGCCTTGACCAATGATATATTTGACCAAATGTGGAGGGATCCACGATTTCAAGCAAGGTTGGTGCTCAAAGTTGTTGACGAGGCCCACATGGTATATACTTGGGGCCTCGTTGAGACTGGTCAAGCCAAAAGACTTGCCAGTCATTCTCGAGTTCACGATGGTGGTGTCTTCCGCCCTTCCTATGGCGCACTGGAACGTCGATTTCTAGCTTCGGACAACTCTCCTCTTTTACTCATGTCTGCAACCTGCACCCCTCAGGCAATCCATGCGATACTAGCAAACCTCAAACTTGATTCACAGGACATCAAATTTGTCCGCGCTGAGCTCACTCGGCCTGAGCTGCGCCTTATTCGAAGGACTTTTAAACGCCCACTGCAGAATTCCCTCCGTTCTGTGTTTCCTCATCACTCGTTAATTCCAACCAAGGACATACCACCCACCCTTCTATACTCTGGGACTCAGAATGCTACACTCGCATACTTACAGCTCATCAACTCTGCACGAGGCCAGCCTAGCGAAGCGGGTAATGGCCATTCCCACTTTGCTCGACGCTACCATGCCACCACTGGAGATAATGCCAAGATAGCGGCGGTAGCAGCATATGTTGCAGGCACACTCAGTGTTCTGTGCTGTACACTAGCCCTTGGCTTAGGCCAAAACTGGCATCGGGTGCGGCGCGTAATCATTGTTGGACGACAAGATCCTTGCAACCTAATCCAGATGTCCGGGAGATGTGGTCGTGACGGCCGGCGTGGTTTAGGTTTGCTTTTGGTTGAACATCGGCGATCCAATGGTAAAAACGATATTGCCGATTTCAACACAGACTCTGCAATGACTGACGACGACCGGATGGATGCCATTGCAATCACTCCGGTTTGTCTCAGGATAGCACTGGCAATAGATCTCCAGTAAGACCTCTTTCTACGGACTGGTAGCTGATGGTCACTGAGATGGTTGAATCTTTGCACAGGTATGGATACATCCCGCTGGATTTGAATACGTGGGTGGTCACCAAAGAAGAAGCTCGTCAGCGCGCCGCAGGAATGCCGACATGTGACTGCTCTAACTGTGAGCCCGAGGAAGCTGAGGCGCTATGGTTAGCACAAGCAGCCCTCACAAATGACAACTTTGATACCGCACTCAAAATGGACGAAACCGAACTCCTGGAACTGAGGGCAAGCCTTCCCAAGGCACCACCACCCGCAATTGCTGAAACACGACCAATGGCTATCTTGTGTGGAGATGACGATCCCATCCTAGGATGTAGTCTTTTGGAAACCCTAGTGACTCGTTTGGAGCAGGCCTTCAATGAATTTTTTATGAGTCAGTTCACAGGGGAATCTGACCTAGCCCCTGCGGATTACTTTGGCCGGGATATGGCGTGGGATTTGGCCAAGAATGTGGACATATTTTTGCAACCTTCAGACCTAGCAATGGTCTTGGGGGGGGAGGCAATTCCAGGCCAATTCCATTGCTTGTTTGACACCTTCTCGCAGTGGCAGACTGATTTAACAACGGCACCTATCCTTGCTGAAGCCATCTCGCGACGTCAGGCAGCTAACCGCGTGCACGGTCCTGCGAAAATTCCCCAATCAGTCGAAGGGGCACAACTCGCAAAGTCTCGATCTGAAGCTGAACAAACAGCTTTCAAAGAAGCCCAAATATTGGAACGGCAGCAGAAACAACAGACCAAACTGGCTGAGAAGGAAGCAGCTCAAGAAAAACGGGCAGCGGAGAGACGTGTAGCAGAAGCTCACAAACGTGCTAATCAAGAGGCCGCAAGTGCTGAACGAGCTCGCATCAAACAAGCTCGACAAATGGAACGCGACCAGCAAAATCAGATTAAAATAGCAGCAAAGAAAGCAGTGCAAGCTAAACGCGCCGAAGAGAAACTCGCTGTGGAAACTCAAAAACGCACCAAACAACAAGCTGCAAGTGTCAAACAAGCTCGCAAGCGCAAAATGAATGAAGACGTCCCACCTTCAAGGAAAGGTAAAAAAAATTCCGAGCACGCGAATCTACCAACAGGATCTCAATCAAGCGACCTCCCTGGGGAAGGGTCCAAACAAGTGGGTGAAGAGCTAGTAGGCTCGGATCAATCAAATATATTGAATTCTTCTGAGGTAAGAAATTCTTTTCATTGAATTGATTTGTGTTTAGGTTGTACTCTAACAAATGTGTAACTCTAGCTCGTTACTCCTCCCCATGAAAGTTCTCACTCTCGCCTGACGATGACAGAACATCAGCAGCTCCCCAGCGGAACCGTGACGATCGACCCGCGGCTTTATCAGCCCGAATCAATTTAATCAAGTTACGCATCCCAGTGGTCCAGACGTTTGTCACCATGGGTGAAGGTCGTATAGCACGAGTTTCGCCTAGATGTTCTTTTGCATAGCGCAGGAACGCCTCCAACGATGGACCAGAGATGGTGTTGAGGTTAGACTGAAATATAAGATCGTGACCGGATTGTACCTTCAGCAGCTGCATAAGCTTCCGTAACTGTAAAATGCAATCAAATTATTTCAGAGCGGTGATACTTTGAAAATGAACCTTTTCACACACCATAGGTATATTATTTGATAACCGGTATATGAGACTTTCGAGATCAGTGCCATTCCCCTAGCAGTTGAATCACATATGAGCCTTGATATGACTGAACAATATGTGATTTTCCAGAGCTTACTCACGGTATTGTTATAAACATTCTTGAGATAGAATATATGAATCTCCAGATATTCATCTATTGGCAGCCAATGATTATCGCGCTCATTTGACGGTATCAGCAATGAATGCTTGATGGCATGAGCTAGTCCTTTAGGCAAGTCTTCCTCTAAAAGTAGAACAATGCGAGGTATATGCCTTGCGTAATGTGATAGACCCGGGACTCCTTGTGCCATCACAGACCAACGTTTCCACATCAACATTAGGCGTCCAATATCGCCGGCGCGGGTTGCATCATGTGCCTCAACCACAGTAGCAAAGTCTCGGAGGCGCAGCATCAGGTTGTACTGTGTGGGGTTGGGATCCACTCTTGCCTTTTCCAAAGCCAAGGAGGAAAAGTAACGTGCCCAAACAAGGTCTAAGAGACGCTTGCAGTCTGTGTCCTTAGTCAAATCGAGCTCTTTATGCGACTCAATCACCTGCCTGGAACAGACAATTTGATGTAAGCGCTCAGAGTTTGTAAATCTCTCCACAAGAATATGAATACTGACCCAACAATGAACACTAGATTACCTTTATGAAGGATTTGGGCTGACCGCATAATGGTGTTGAAATCTTGGGATGCAACCGGTTTTTTATACTCAGCACCTAGAGCAAACAAGGACCTCCAAGCACCAGAATCGTCGCCTTTGTCAGAATGTCCCCAGTGTAGTGATAATAAGCTCTTGGTGAAGTTCCACGTAGTGTGAGCACCACCAAATATGGACAGCACCCATTCGAGCCCTTCAACTGAATCTATGGGTGGAAATCTTTTGGTTCGAAGGCTTTCAACTAATTGATTAGACCCTACATCTCCCCCTGCTACCAAGAGACTTTCTGCGTAAGTTTTCTTCTCTACACCAATCTGCTCCATGATCTTATCAAGCACACGTGAAACTCCCTCTGCTGACGAGTCCGGCGCGTCCATCATTCGTAGGAAGTGAATGTTTGCCTTATGCATCTCGATAGGGTCAATTGAAGGAGGCCGCGTCGCCAGGGAGGATAGACAATGGCCTTCAGGAACACCACGTATGTACGTCATATAATCTTTGAGAGCTTTGGCAATTTGGGCCTTGACCACAGCTACCCAATGCTCCATATCGGCAGGACTGGGACAGAACGAAGAAGGTTGAACAGCCTTACGGTTTGCTTTGTTCATCGCGTCCAAAAACATAGCCAGGTTGACCGCCTCCTCCTCACACTTTGCTTGCAGGGTCGCACGCACTACCTGGAAGAATCCCCAGGTCCCGTGGAATAGACGTGAAGATGTCTCTATCCGAGTGTTGTGAATCTTCAAGTGAATGTCGACATTATCATAACATAAGAATGGTAAGAGCTTCTGATTCAATTTAAATAAATCCATCATTCGTTCTTCTTGTACACAACGTAGACGATCCAATGCTAGTAAGAGACTGGGCCTGGACGCGGTAATTCCATGGGCGTGAAGCCATTCATTGATACGACAAGAGACACCGCCTGCAAAGGCCATTAAGCCGTTGGCCATTGGCATCGCATTGCTACGACGATTGCAACAAACAGCTATCATTGCACACACCATGATTGGGACCTAGTGCAATGGTATACGTAAATCAGTTGAATCACCAGGTATCAAGAAACTTGTTGGTACGTACTTTTGCAAGCTTGTGAGATGCTTGTCCTGCTGCCGAGGACTTCACACAGACTAAATTTTCCATTGACATCACCACTGAATCTTCTTCGCTGTGACTGTCTGCAATGGTTACTGCCATATCAGAGCTGTTGGTTGGAAGATTATCCCCTTCATCATCGTGGTGGTCAGTGGAGGGTTCATTCATGCCAAACGAAAGCTTGCGGTGAATGAGTGAGTATAGGAAACGCATCCCAGTGACAACTTGCGTCTCTCGAATAGTGTCGCTACTATCACTGAAAAAGTCTGGCAAGATTCGACTAGAGCTGACATATGATCCATTAGGGAAATGCCCTCGGGGCAATTCCTCTGCGTTGACTATCTTCGAAGCCTTGTGTTCAAAAAACCAGAGGTTAATTTCAACTTTCCTGTTCTTAACCACACCGAAATGTGAGGAACTGACCTCATCCAATATCAGTTCCTCCCAATCAGCTTGGCCTTGGTCACAAGACTTGGACATTTTGCCAAGATTAGTGACAATTGAACGAGTTTGCTTGGCTCCCAAACCAATTTTCATTAGGCGTCGACGATATATGATGTCTGGGTGAGTGGACGATAAGAATGTCACCATGAATTGTTTGGGGCATATATTAATTTCCGTCATTAAACCAAGTATTTGTAGAGTGCTGCGCACAGTGGCAGGTACTTTGAAAGTTGGTGAAGGATCAATTTCGGGTGTCATTTGAGGGGTGTGCAGAAAGATCCAGCTTGCAAAAAATAAGAGGAAACACAACCAGACAAAGAACATCAAGAGAAAATAATTGTATTTTTATAGCACGTGTTCTCAATTGTGAATAAAACCAACAGCTAACATTGTCTCAAAAAAGGGTGTATGACATTTGACCGGTATGAGAGCAAACCCCAATGATCAAAAGTGGACTAGTTTACATTCTTCAAAATGGTCTCTAACACTTAGTACGAAAGGAAAATAACCTAAGCACATAAAAACACAGAAATGAATCAACACTGCTATGAAATATTTCCTAAGTGTACTGAAGTACTAAAGGAAAATGTTCAAAGTGTGACGATGAAACAAAATAGCTTTCAACGATTTCCTAAGCGTACAGAAGTACTAAAGGAAAAAGTTCAAAGCAGACAAAAACCAAAAATATCACGAAACGAAATAGCTTTCAACAATTTCCTAGGCGTACAGAAGTACTAAAGGAAAAGGTGCAAAGAGGACAAAAACGATAAATTCTAAGCGCATTAAATTTAAAGTGTGGTGATGAAACGAAAGAGCTTTGAACAATTTCCTAAGCGTACGGAAGTACTAAAGGAAAAGGTTCCAAGCATCAAACAGGGTACTGATGAATGCAAGCTTCTTTGACGGATTTCCTAAGCGCACGGAAGTGCTAAAGGAAAAGCGCTAATTAGGAAGGAGCATAGATGGACAGAGAGAGACAAACCCTCAGACAACTCCTTGGGAGGCTATATATATATCAGAAATTGATTCATAGAATCATAGAGCAAGCACCTTCAAATTTAGACTACTTGACCGATAAGGGTCTTGTTTCAAAATGACTGGGCCGTATCCAGTCAAACGGTCACAATACCTTACTAGACCAATTCAGCCTCAGGGTTCCTGATCGCGATGTCATCATTTCCAACTGGTTTGGACCGTGTGACTGGAAAGGGACTTGTTTCAAATTTCTCGGCCTGTGACAAATAAAGTAGACAGGTTCTAATGAAGCAATTGCAAACCATTACTTCCCAAAGAAGGGGTCGCGATCCCTTACTGGCCTGAATCAAAACAGATTTGTCGCGTTCTACACCACCTTTGTTCTCTTCCTGGAGCAGCTCAGGAATTTCAAATGCAAGGTCTCGCGTTTGAAACCACCAAAGCGGTGTGTTTGCCATATGAACTGGTGCTTGAAGGGTGCCAGTTGCAAATGCGACTTGCCTTGATGCACTGGTGCCCTGATACAAGCATCACGATAAGTTATTTGGCTAGTTGTCAGGGTCATGACCTGCCAATTAAAATCCTGGCTAGTTGTTCTATGATTTGTCGCCGTTCGGATTAATATTCAATCAATACCAAGCGCTCGCTAGCTTGATTCGTAAGGAGACTCATTAAAGAGGAAATATAACTGCCAAACCAAGTCATGGGCTATTCACACTGCGCTTTAGCACATTTACTGCCATCTTGATTGGTCTTTTCAATCCAAGGGCTCTCTAGCTTGTTTCAAGAGGTGAGCTACTGGGGAAGCAAACCGCGTCCAGCCGAGTACAATGGGGTGATAAATTCTATAAGGGGCAGAGGCTCTTTCACCAAAAGTTTGGATTGTTCTCAAGGTGTTAATTTCCCTCAATGTGTCTTTCCCTCTGCGTGTCTTATCTTCAACATGATTCCGTATAACGACCCACTGCTTGACATGGAGGGAACTATTGGTAGAATTATTGCCACTATTGAAGGCGAAGGCTTAAGCGTTGAATCATTTATCTGCGCCGTTGACGGACCCTTCCCCACCTCAACCTCCGAAATCCGTATGTCAATCCGCGACAGAATGATTCTTCAACAGACACTGGAAATTGTGGAGTTCATCGAGTGTAGCAACATCAATGTCTGGGAATTCATCTTTAATTTTCTGGACCATCGGTTCCATTCCCGACGTCCCCAGCAACATGATCTACGTGGCCATTCCTCTGGATCCCGCCAATTGGTTCGCGGAATTTTGATGAGCATACGCGAGAGCCTCTATGAAGCAGGGAATAACCATGTCTGGCGTGACTTTGTACAGGACGAGGTGAGTTATTTATGGCTATCTCGAAGATTGATCACCTTTCTCAATAATTTTCTGGTCATTCTTCTCAGGCGGACACCCTTAACATAAATGTAGATGAGCTGGAGTGAGGGATGGGGTGACGTGTCTGTTCTGCGTAAGTTATATTGTTATTGCATTAGTGTCAGACTCAGAGGATCCGTACTGATTCAACATTCACAGGGTGACAATGGATGACCCTTCTACATTATGAGCAATGCATTATGATTAACCACCTTACCCCGCTCAAAATGCTGTTTGAGCTGTAGTTAACATTTTTGCAAGCAAAACCTTTCTGACACGCAGCATCTGAAACACATGTAGATGAGTTTGGCCCCGAGGTTAGGCCAATATGCTTAGTTGCTCATATTATTAGAACCGCTTGGGCTATTCGGGTATGGAGAGTGTCAAAATATAGAAGGGTGACATGCACATTATTTTGATTATCACCCCATCACAAGTTGAGAAGAAGGGATCGTGAGTAAGAGAGATGACAGATTTTGGGCAAAAGCCCTGTCTGATCTCACGCCAGAATTTCGAGATAGTGCGTAAGTCCCTCGCTGGCGCTCGGAGGTACGTGGTACTTGTACCGACGGGGCCAACGCGAGGGACATAGATAAGTTTGGGGGTGAACACTGAACAGAAGAAAGTCAAGGAGATGTGTATGAGTTTTTAAAATACAGATTCAAACCAAACCAAACAAATCATAAGCCTATCCTTAAGCAAATTTGGTTAAGGTCAAAAATATTCATCAATTTCAAAATCAAAAAGGGTTCTCTTTTCAAATCAACTTGAAAATGTACACTCGATAAGCATAAGCTTCCCCTAAGCACACCTCAGCCGATGCCTTACTAAAACTGGGTATTATGTACTTATCGAATCTACAACTTAAGATGAATCTATGTGCTTATGTAGAATATCTTATCGATGATTTGTTTTGATCTTGTGAAGGATTCAAATGAAATAAGATTCGATAGATTGATTTAAAAGATGTATGATATACACATGATTGATGTGAATTTGAATTTGGATTGAATTGATCGATATAGATCTCATTGAATTTGTACAAGATTTACAGAAATACTGAAAAAGGTGTAGATATTGAAAAGTATTTATAGTTGTGTATTGTGAGAGATGATGATGATGATGGTGGATTCTTTAGTTTGATGTTGATGATGATGATGATGAATGAGATGTGTTGGTCAAAAAGAAAGTGCTAGAAAAGTGTGATGAATTGAAATGGTTACAAAAAGGTTAAGTAGATTTCTTTAAGTTTGACTTAATTTTTGATTTTCTAAGTCTTTTCTTTCTATTTCTCCGCTTTCTAAGTCAATCAATCAATCAATCAATGATGTTAATGTTAATCTTGTTGATGAATGACTCAGACTTGAAAACCTCATCAAATTCGATCTCAATCAACTCTCATTTAACCAAAATCAAAAATAAACATTTCATTCTTATTGATTGATTGATTCATGATGATATCATCTTCTCTTTACTTTCCCATCGATTCTTTTCTTTCTTAAAGTTTTCTTCCTCATCACTTTCATTTCCTGACGATCCATACAACATATAGAAAAACAATTAAAAGATTTAAAGCTTATAAAGTTTGTATATTGAAAAAATAGGCTTTAATCTTTAAGAAAACCCTTGACCCATCCTTTTGTCTCTCTAACCCGAAGCAATAAATTCAAAAAGAAAAAAACGAAAACTCAAATAAAAACCGTGCTTTACATAGTTCCGATATCGGAAATGAAGTTAAAAGAAAATTGGGTGAATCTTTTCTACCATCATTTTGTACAAATTACGAGAGTTTAATCAAGGAAAAAGTTTCGATTTCGATCAATTGTATGATCTGAAATTAAAGTACAAGCTTTACAAAATGATCAGATTTGAACTTGATTCAAATCAACCAAATTTATTTAATCCCTTTTTTCCTCCTTCAAAACCAAAAAAAAAACCAAAAAAAAAATCATTCCATTTTTCTTTCTCCGTACATGTGTCTACAACCACCATATCTTTTGGAGGATATGTTTCGAAACCTCCGCAGAAAGATTTATAAATTGATTGGTTTTTTATGAGTCATCATTTACGTTTAAAGTTTTAACTTTTTAATGATTTGTGAAGTCGAGTCGATCTGGATTAGTTTCGAAACCAAATCAAATCAAATCAAATCATGATCGAAGGTTTAGAAATTAAATAAATAAAGTCATCGTACTCTAACACAGCGCAGTTTGAACGTTTTTCAAGTTGATTTTATTCAAAATCCACACACCACCATAAAACCAAAGAGTGATTTGGTGTAGAGTCTAGATACCGAACCGGATCAATGACGGTTTATGTAGCTTACAAATTGCTTCATCATGGGTTTTTTTTTGTCTTATTACTAATTAGAAAGGCGTATGAGTTGACACCTTAAATTAAAGGAATTTATAAAAAAGTAATGGCGCATGCAATTTACCGGGTCTTACTCAGATTAATTAATGGTCCAGCTGTGTACATAGATATGTAGATTGTAGTGATGCATAAGACACCCTGATTCCTAGAGGCTGAGCTGAACAAAGCTCTTGACTTTAATGTGATGGGAATTGATCGGTCACAGTGAATCGAAGGGTAATCTGAACTCTGATCAAGAGGATCATAGCTGAAAAGAGCCTTGAATCAGAATCGTTAGAATTAAAGATCAAGAACAAGAAAAATGTAAGAATGATTATTCAAGGAACCCATGATAGAATTGAAAAGATGACTAATAAAGATATTGATGAAAAAAGGAAATAAAAGATCAAAAAAGGGACGTTGAAAACTGATAGAGTACATAGTAAACTTCCCAGAAATACAAGAGATAAGATTGTCAAAGGCTGAAAAAAGTAAACAAATAGAATCAAGAGAAAGTCAAAAGGAATTATTCAAGATGTTGACCAGTTGAAAAAGAGATAAGATTTTGAAAAAATATCAGAAGTGTATGTATTTGAACGAGTATCAGTGTTAAGCCAAAGAAAAAGTAAAGCTGATGCAAGTTGGGAAGTTTCGGGTAAAGATTTTGTACTTTGTGGTTTTATCTTGCGTAGATCTATGATGAAAGTCAATAAGACATGTGAGAATCCGATTCGAATGCTCATGAAAATAAAAGTTAATGATGATAAACTCACCGATGAAGAACCAATTTCTGGTCGTTGATCAAACCACATTTAAACTACAAGGATTTCTTTTCTACCAAATCACTTTTCCTTCCTTCACTTTTACTCAACAAAGAACCACAAGGAACGTTCTCTTTCGAATCCTGATCCTAAAACATTCATCAAGGGAAATGAATTAATTGGATAAGAAATTATTAATTTGTACACTTTCAGAGATTACTTACGTTTAGTACCAAATTGCAATACTTAATTTGGTTTGCCAGACAAAGTCGTATTCTTGGCTTCAATACCGTCCGTGAAGGTTCAACAGGGATTTTCGGAAGCATAGAAGGTTTTGAAGAGGTTGTCCGAGAACGCGGAACACGAGCTGGTAGAGCTTTTGTCCTTTTCGGATTCTTGGTACTCTTCTGATCTACTGTGTCGGTGGCAGTCACAGTACGCTCTCTCTTATGGACCCTACTAGTATCGAGATCCCTAAAAGTGTCTGAAATTTCGGAGGCGTGACGTGCGATTCCTCGATACGACCTCTCCATCTTCCGGGCACATTCAGTCAACGTCATCTTCTGTCTTGGCTTTCTAACCATTGCGGCAGAGGATGGTTTGACAAGTTCGGTAGATTTTTGAGCTTCTGGATATGATCCGACCGCGAGTGGATCCTTGTGAGTTTCCTTTGGATCCGAGGACGTATTCGATAAAGGCATTTGATTCGGAAGTAAGACCGGGTCAATATGCCGACCAGGAAGATTAAACTTTGATTCTGTATTCTTCGCTGCCTTGGAGAGAGAGAGAAGTATTTCGATGTAGTAAGACATCGGCATGGGCGTGTCTTGGTCGGAAGGCGAATTTGAGGGTGCATCGCGTTGGGGGATGCCGGAGAAGGGTGTGATGTTGGAGCTCATTTTGTTGTGATTTTGAGGGTGTAGATGTAGGCTTCTAATCTTGGGTTGCGAAGAGCAAATAGTTTAACTGATATTTTTAAAAGCTTGTAGGATTCTAATCTTGGGATGCGAAGAGCAAATAATTTAACTGGTATTTTTAAAAGGTTGAAGGTGACTTGAAATTCGGATTTGATTCAAAGTGATGGATCTGATGAGAGAAAGAAAGCGAAAGTTCAAAGAAAGCGGTCAGCTCTATATAGGGCCATGACCGCCGTGATCTGCTTGTGCCTTGAAATTTTCTTGCCAGTTTGTTATTTGACCTATCCACTCTATGACGGCAAGGCACAAGGAATGGCCGGCAAGTAAATATATGTTTGTCGGCCGAACACCTCATCCACGACACTGCACTGAAGAGTAGCTTCTGACCGCCAGAAGCTAGTCTTTGATGGAGCCCTTCATTCTCAGTTTGTTGGTTAATTTCTCTACAACGGCTACAAATATTGTGTGTGCACTTTGAATTGGCTGACGCTTGAGATGAACATTCTCGCACTTTGTACCCTGCTGGTAGTAGTTTGTAACCTTCTTGTTATATGGCAGGATAAGTTAGGCATCGAGGTGTTTCGCCATATCATCATGGACTGTGACACAGCCAGGTGACATCGGGTTTTAAAGTCTTGCTTTGATGCTCAGCTCTTTCATAGTAAATGAGTGACTTTGTCCGATTTTGGGCATCGAATGACGTGATGTCTCTATAATTCATAGCATGTCGAAATTCTTGAGTGCTGGATCATGTCAACTTTGACCTGCTGAGTTTTTTTGACTAGGCCCGTAAACACAACATCAATAGGACTTTTTATAAAGCTTAACACAGAAAAGAATGAGTCAAAAATTGATAACTGTAATCCTTTTGATAAAATGAAGAAACATGTTACTGGATGCAAACAGTATCGTTCACTTGATCCACCTTTTTACCTATACAGCATCAGAACAAGTTTCATAAGTTTGCATCCTCTGAGAATGAGACAGGGCAGTTTCCTCTGGGGTCATAGCCAACTGAATTTGACCTTCACCTGATTAAGTGATAAACAGTCCTTGTAAGAGAACCATGTCAAATTCTTAACAAACACTTTTGAATAAATACCGAATCCCTAGCTTAATGTTCAGAGCAAGGTCAGAGCTTAGAACAAATCAGACATTAAGTTCAAGAATTGTTTCTTTTCATTTATATAGTCATTGAATGAAAAAGCTTCATGCAGTTCAGATTTCTCTCAACCATGTATTCGATAACACAGTCACATATCTCCTCACTTGAGCGAGTTGCTCAATGTTGACACAACAAAGTAATACATAGGCGTTTCTTATCTTTTAGTTTTTTTAATGTTCTTATTCAAATCAATTTGTGAAGAAATACGCTTCATGTCATTATACAAATATCGATTTTTTTCAAACACAAGATAGACAAAATATAAATATTAGATACAATGTTTCAAAGCTCGAGGGAGATGAGAGGCGAATAGTTATGAGGAGGCAAACATGATGTATGGTTTTGAGTGGTTCATGGCAAGAGAGAATACCAAAGCTTCAAGAAAGAACTTGTGGGGCATGAGAGGAAACTTGTGCAATTAACAACACAGGTATTAATTATATTTGTAATAAGAGCAATGCGCTTCATCTCATTATATAACCATTGATTTTTATTTCAACCCCAAAATACATAACATTAATACTAAATATAATACCTATAAGTGTATAGCTTCGCGTTTCCATCATAAGGAAATTTATTGGTGTATAGCCTAAATTCTTCATCATATTGTAGAATACCATCATCTTGAGGAAAGAATGGTTTGTTTCATAGCTTTCAAATTCTACCTCTTCTTCGGACTTGATCTCAGCTTCATCTTTGTTGTCAATCAAATGTCAAGAGTTGGGCCAACGGAAATGGAAGCGAATATCAGTAAAGTGTACCTCTTGAATCGAGTGAAAAAGGATTCAATGCATGAAGTGGAATAAAAGCATACCTTCTTCTGAACTCTTTCCTTCTCTTTTTGTGAGTTTGCTCAATGCCTCCCTCGGCTTCTTGCTTTAGTCGCTCTTTCTTTTCTCGTGCCATTGCAAAGGCTTGTTTGGATAGACTCTTTGCATATTCTTCCATTTCCAACCGCCCTGTTGTGAGATATGATCAAGCATCAGTATCGTATAGGATATCAACTACATTTGAGAATGAGAGAGTGGAAGCTAGAGACATACATCCAATGTTTGCTGCGTACCAGGCGACATCTTCTGCCTCTTTCCTTGCCCTTCTGGTCTCTGGCGTGCTGATAACCAAAACCTCTTCGGAGCCGGAAGGGATTGGTTGATCATTCACTTGATGGACGTGGACAATCTTGGGCAGAGTGGATGATTTGGGGCGCTACAATGTGAAGAGGTGGTCGAAAAGAAAAAAGAGAGGAAAGAGTCTCAGAGAAAAGAAGATTGACAAAGAAAAGTGAATGGAGTTGAAATACTCACCGAGTCTCTCTTTCTTAATCCATCTGGTAGAAGCTTCTTGAGTTTATCTTTGAGGCTAAGAGTAGGTTTGGAAAGAGCTAGTCTTTCGCCCGTTTCTTGCAAGTGATGCTCTAAACCTGAGGCATAGCTCTGAAGAGACAGAAGAGCAAGAGTAAGAGGAATGAAAAAGGAATGGGAAGATTGATCGAATAAAAGAAAGAGTTGAGTGAATGGAAAAAAAGAACATACCACATAATCATCCTCAGCATCTGGTATCACAACGTTTGACATTCTAGTCTTCTAGAGGTTGTTGATCTTTTTAAACAATTTGAAATCAATGTGATGTGTTGTGATCTGGAATTGGGGTTGATGAGGTAAGTTGTCAGAAAGTATTCCCAAACCAATCTCACTCGGTGCGGTTTATAAAGTGAAGGTGACCCGAATAATTGCATACTTATGGGTTTATTGGTTTATGCCATTCGTACCCAACAATAATCAAACATAAATGGAGTAAAATTAAGCTTATTTTTTCTGATCAGCATCTAGTCGACATACAGAACCGTGCGCACTTTATTCTTGCATTTTTAATGATTTCAAAAATGTAAGACATCATATGTATAAATTTTTGCATCGGCTATGATGGCTTCGTGGTTCACAACTTACATATGATATCCAGCAGTTGAAGATTGATTGAGGGGTGAGTTTCCGCTGTAATTTGGTTGCCCGATCTTTTAGTTTATAACTGCAGCAGTTATGACTTCTTATACCCACCATTAAATATTGATGAAGGAGAGATCTCTTGTATTTTGTCATTTGAACTCACACGTCTATCACCTGTATCTTTTGGAACAACAAAAGTAAGAAAGTGGAAGGTAGTATGTTTTTGTGACGCCAATCATTTGGAGTATGGCATTGGAGGGAAACATGGAACTCGTGGCCTTCTACCATCACTTGATGATGCGAAAGCGTGATGTATGGGATTTATACACTGGTACGTTCTCTATGACTTGCCCTTCACCACTTCTAACATGTGGCTTCAAAAGATTAATCCAGATGTGCTTTTGAGAGTGATTCCTCCCAAAATATCGCTTGCGATAGATCCAATCTAGCCTCTCTCTGTAGTCTGGTTTTTCAAACCAAAGCTTCTATAACGACTTTGCACATCAGTAAATTTGATTTCATGTTAATCAAGACCACTCACAAGGTGTTTCTACATCATCAGACAAGACCTATGGATGGCAGGACCTTCAAAGAGTCTCTGTCAATTACTTTGCCTTTCAAGAGGCGATTAGGACTTGAATAATCAACACCATGCTTTAGATGCTCCTGATAGCGATGAATTAGCTTCTATAACCACTTTGCACGTCAAGCAATTTAGTTTCCATGTTTGTCAAGACCCCTCACATGTCGTTTCTCGATCATTCGACAAGATCTATGGATGAAAGAACCTTCAAAGAGTCTCTGTCGATTACTTTGTCTTTTCAAGAAGCAATTAAGACTTGAATCTTCAACATCGTGCTCTAGATTCTCCTGATAGCAAGCGGATGAATGCCCCGGACCTTCAGCAATTGCAGATTGCACAATCCCATTATGCAATATCTATACTCATGCGTCTCATTCAAAGTATCTGATGTCAGGTATGCAAATCCTCTCAAAAGCATCTCTGTGTGGAACAATTGAAAAATGGTTGTCTTATTGTCATTAGGCGATTTGGGGAATTGGGTATTGAAGCGATGGCGGGATTGTCAGCCTCGACTTTGACAATTTTTCTTTCACTTGTTGTGCGCTGGGGTCGGGCAGATTTTGGACCAAAGGTCTTATAACAGCTTCATTAAGCCAGAATTGTCTGATTGCATGTCCACAAAGACGCATTAACGATTATCTGATAACGTTTGGGCAAGACTCATCATCAAAACCCTCAGAAACCGTCTTGTTAGCTTTCTTGTATTTTGCAAGGCAATCCTGACCTGGAATATTAGCTCACTACAGTGAGCCTTATTTCAAGCCCATAGAAGGGATAGATCTTTAACGCTTGTTATCTACAGTCTTGTCAAATATCCTTTATGCTCCTCAGCATCATTTATATAATCAAAAGTTACACTCGAGGAATGCTTAACATATTTGCAATGTGGAATTGGGACAAGTGGGTCATATGCAATGTGAAGTGTAGCTTTATATCAATTAGGTGATTTTTTCACCTTCATCAAACATATGACCAATGGTAGTCTTCACTGCGTGCGACTCAAGCATGATCTATGCTCCAATGCATTGGTGGTGCGGCTAGCCTCAGGATGCAATATGTATGCGGCAAAAGTGTGAACGCACATTTCGGCGTGAGGATGTCAAAAACCGGGTCGGGTAACGATCAGCCGACCAAGATTTTTCAAAAAATGCACTTTTGTGATATCAAGCAAGATCCGACATCAATATAAGCTCTCTGGATCGCGTCCATAGCGTCAGTGCTTGCCAGTGAGTCATCATGCTTATGGCTCCCTTGTTGGACAGCGTTTGTTCGTGATACGGGTGTTTCTCGGCCTTTTAGCCTTGCGCCGCACAAGAGGATGTTAGATATCAACCTTCAGTTACAGAGGTTCGTTTTTTTAGGTTTGATGAGAAGAATGCGAAGAAGAGAACGAGAATCGATGGAATTGCTTAAGAATTGTGACCGGAATTGAGTCAAAGTTTGCAACCCGACCTGATCCTTTGAACTTCGAAGCCATCGTTGCTAATATTTGAGTGTTTATGCTGAGACAAATAGTTTTTGCCCTCTTTAATCTAAAACTCACTCTTCGACGTCATGGCTTTCCTGCGTACCACTGACCAGCCAACATTGAGCTCAATGTCCTCATCCATTGGGTCTTATCAAATGGCATTCATTGTTCCTTTGATAATGCTTGCGGGTTGATGAGAGCTTTGTATACCTCAGAATGCACCCAAGGCTTCAAAATGCCTAGAGCTCAAGCTTATGTCACATTTGCAGCTTTGAGCTCTTTGAAACATAGCAAGGGTAAGTGAACCAATGAATTTCTTATCCAGCGATATTCGATTTTCAGAGAATGTGAAATCCCTTACAAACACTTTTGAATAAGTATCAAATCCTGAGACCAACAGGAAAAAGAAAATTCCAGTTTGGAATGAGTTGAAGGGGGAGTTTGTGAAATTGATATAATTTCCATCTTTATTGGTTTAGTCACTGAATGGAAAAACATTTCCCTTCTCTCACTCTCTGATGTCAATAGGGATGATTGAAAATTTTATAGAGAAATCTACGAAATCATCCGGATCAAAAAGCATGATAAGAGATGGTACTCTTAAATCTAATTTCCTCAAGTGGTTTTGTCATTTATATAACACATGAAAGTTATAAAATGTCAGGCCCATTTCTAATCATGTTTAGGTTAGATGAAGTGGACAGAAAATCTGGGTTTATGTCAGAGAAAAAGATGAGAATTGTGGAGTGTTTGGATTCTTTTGATCTGTTATCATTATTATCTTGAGGATTGAACTAAAAAAAAAAGGATTTTCTTTTTGTGATATGAACTGATTGTTGCTTTGCTGCTTAGAAAATCTATTGTCATTTTTACAAAAGAACATCAAAAAGTTCAAACTCTACAAAACAATCAATATAATTATAAACTTTACAACAGAGAAAACCGAGTAAAAAACGAGTTTATTCAAGACTTTATAACAGCAAGTTTAACTGCGATCCAAAAACACTTTCCCATAACTTTCCAATAAAAGACGAACTGTTAAGTACACAAAATTTCTTAAACAACTTAATCTAAATCTTACCAATCATCTACCGATTCTTCTTTCTTAACCAAACCTAATCCAACTTCTTTTTTATCACCTTGATCAACAAAACAATTCGCCTTAACTTTCACATCTTCATCTTCAACCTTGACCACCCCCTCGACCTTGTCCCCTTTTCTATCCTCATCACCTTCAACTTCAACTTTAACTTTAGCTTCAGAAATTCCTTCTTCTTCTTCTTCCTTAGCTTTTTTCGTATTTGATTTTTTCTTTTTGGTTTTCATAAGTTTTTTAGAAGGACATAATCCTTCGATTTGACCCACAAAACAAGTTTCACATTTAGGTCCGATTGGTAAACAAATCAATTGACCGAATCCCACCAATAAATGATTAATTTCTTGATGTAAGCTAAACCCCAAAAGAAACCCATGATGAAAAACGAAAAAAAGATGAATCAATCAACTGTATGTTTTTCTTGGATTGTGTTTTTTTTTCTTGAGGATGAGAAGATTAGGTTCTTACTTTTTGGGTAACCAACTTTGTAAATTTAATCTGGTTTGTTCTGGTTCAGTCGTAGGTGGTAAATGCCATCCTAATCGATTTGTGATCCGATGTACATGTGTATCCACTCCTATACCTTCATTTATGGACCAAGCTGAAGCTAAAGCCAAAAAAGCCATCTTAGGTCCTACACCTATTCCCCCCCCAAAAAAAAGAAAGAAAGAAAAGAATTGAGATGTTAGGTTTTGGGATTTGGAATGAACAAGAAATCAAAAGAAATGCTTACCTTTTAGAGATACTAATCCATCTACAAAAATCAATCAAGCAAATCAAATCAATTTCAATCATCTTTGAAACCATCCGAAAAAGTTTACGTTTACCTAATGTTTTAGGTACATCACTTTGATGAAACGAATATAAATCTTCAGCCATTTCTTTCAAATACGAAGCTTTTCTTCTCCAAAAGCCAACTTTATTTATACAATTTTCGATTTGAAGTAAAGAAGAGTTTCTTAAAGAGTTAACTGAGAGTCCATTTGAAAGGTTTCGTTTTAAATTCAAAACGGCTTGATGAGTGATTTGATCTTTAGTTTGTGAACTTAACATTAATGAAACTAAACATGATAATCTACGTTCGACTTCAGTAGGTTTGAGATCAGGATTTAATGGATCGAATCCTGCTTGATCACATCCCATCGTATCTACTGGTGCTATTAAACTTTCTCGTTGGGTTTTGATTAGGTTATAGGTTTCTTCCCATCTTTTGGGTGCTAGATGTGGAGTTTCTAATGATAGTTTGATCGATTTCTTGGGTGATCCTCGTTTGTTTGGTGATTGAGTTTGTTTGATTTTGGGTAGATTTATCGGGTGTTCTTCTGCTTCTGGCTCTTTAAAGATTACTTTGGTTGCCCGTTTACGTTTGGAAGTACTAGGTTTACTTTCTTCATCTTTAACTTGATCAGTTTGGATGGGATTTTTCAAAGTTGCTTTTGATGTTGATGATGATGATGATGGGAATGGTTTGATGTCTTTTGGTTCAAGTTTCATTATTGTGACTCTTGAATCTGATTGGCTTTTTTCACCGCGTAATCTGGATGAGAATCTGACTGTTGGAATCGAATGAGACATTGTTTTGGTTGGTTGAAGTTGATTGAATTGTAAAGAAATGGGTTGAACTTGAAGAACTTTGAAAAGTGAATTGACCATGATCCGATTTGGGAAATTTAATTTGGTCAAACCTAATGTGATTTCATTCATTCTCAACATTTACATAGGAGAACCATGTTTGACTCATATTTCGTGTCGTCAAACCAATAAGAGAGCAGCTTTCAAGTGAACTGGCACCTTGATCAAATCAAGACTGCCCATAGGAAGAGTAGAGAACTACATTTCACATTGACAATTTCCATCGATCCAGAACAATCACAGTAGCAAAACTTTTAAAGAGAAACTACCAGAGTTGGGAAACTATTGTCATAGTATCACTTGGTTTACAAATCAGCTGGCGCACAAAAAACAAACTGGTGCAATGAATGGCTATGATAAGCAGAGAGCAAGCTGACTTCAACTTTGACCAGGAGAATGCGTAGAAGGCTCTTTTGGAGGAAAGAAATTGTTGCATGTTATGATAAGCGTTTACGTCCACATATAGCCCTCCTGAACTGCAACATACGTACGTTGATTGCATTGAAATCGGCCAGATCAACAACAACTGCGTCCGCTATTATCATCACATTTGTTGCAAGGTTCACGAGTTTTGAGGAGCCTTTAGTTAGTGAGATTGGTTTTGAGTAGGCAGGTATCATATCAATCAGTCGATGCACGAGCGTAGAATAACGAGAGTTGATGCTCAGAACGTTCACTTACGATCTCTTTTCGATGATCGGAGTGAACTCTACAAATCGTCGTTGTATGACTTCACGAGTGACACTGAGATCAAGCAAGTCATGTGTTAGGTAAAGTTTCTGAGAGCCAGCAACACAAAGAAAGATGTTAAGGCTTTGCTCACGGTTGGTCAACTTGGACAAGGCTGGCGGAGATTGTGGCTATGAGAGTAGATAAAGGATTGAGTAAGATTGAGTATGAATGGAGATATGGAGATATGGATTAATGTGGATTCACTGACCCGCTAGAACAGCAGCAATGACAACTTTTATGGTATACAAATATTGTTCTGGAGATTTCCAGAAGGTTTTTCCCAGAACGCCAGAACCCTTCTGGTGTTCTGGAAAACTATATTTCTGTGAACAAGGTTCCACTTGGTGTTACAGTCATGTACTCAGGATTCTGGTATTCTGGACTGCTGGGGGGTTCAAACTTCCAGAACACCAGAATGCCAGATACCATTATAATTTTTCTTTCTGACATTCTGGGAAAAATCTTCTGGAAATTTCCAGAACAATATTTGTATACCATATTTGAAGAAAAGCATAGCAAATTCTTTGAGGCTGGAGACAGGTCTGATGGGATAGTCCAAGATGTAAGGTCTGGAGGATATCTAGCAAGTTTTGGTGTGTGAGGGAATGAAGGATATGTTGAAGGCGCTGTTTATAACTTTTGTAATCTTACTATAACTCATCGGAGTCCCACAGCGTGGGACTCTGATGAGTTTATAATCTTACACGAAACATAGAGAACCACTCGACCTCATTCGACCAACCATAAATAAATCATTTGACTTTGACTCGGGATGATTCATTTTTTGTTTTTAAATGCACCACCGGCTACCACCGACTACTCATACAGCTGGTTCTCAGACAGTAGTCTGGGACCCCCTACGATAACTTAACAAAGTCCCTCAATGCTGAGTCCTGACAGCTGTCATTCAACGAGTTAAAACTTAAGAGCTGTTTGAGACCCTCTTTCTTGACTAGCCACAAGTTGTGGCTATTTAGTCATCAAGTCATGAACCCCCCACCCCAAAAAACAAACCCTACCCCAAGTACATACCGTTGCACATCACGGTTCCCCCCCAATCCTAAGAGCCCAACCCAAAGCCCACAACTGCACATGTCAGCCAGTTCATAAAGTTGTTGGTACTTCTTTTTCCAATTCTCTTTCTTGACTTGTACAAATTTTTGGGCGCTAAAATTTCATAAAGGACTGATGTGATGGCTTGATAGACCTTTGAAAAAAACTTGTTATTAACGGTTGGAAATGTGATGTGTTTGGTACTCTTAATCTGTGTAATGGAATAGGTTTGGTGCTTGATGTGATTTGGGCAGAAACTCACAATGGAGTGTTTTAGCCTGAATCGGGGCAAGAGACCCTAATTGCAAATGTAACTGAAAACTATGCTGAATAGGAAAGTACATGTGCAGACTCAAAGGCATCAAAAAGGTCCGCTATGGGGCGGCCTAAAAAGTAATACAATAAAGGGAGAGGTGGGTGGGACCAAAAAATTGTATGTGAGATCAATGACTAGGAAGGATAAAAGATCTCGAAAAGATAGGAGACTACCGTTTAGGAGGAGACTTATAATGTCTTTGAGAAAGATGAAGTGGGATGAGCAAACAAGAGAGCTCCACTTCATATAGGAAAACTCCAAAGGTAAAGAGTGTCCTCAAAAAGGTAAAGAGGGAATTTGGAGTTTGGGATTGGTCAAGAGCACAGCAGCGCCAATCATTCACGAGGCAAAGGCTTACACCACGGGGTAATTTGTACCATCGGATGGCGGTCATGGAATACCATCCAGAGGCAAGATTCGCTTGGTGGTGGAGAACCACCGCCAGATGGTCAGTGGTGCGGCGGTCAAAAGGCAAGATTGCCTTACCACTGCCAGATGGGCCATCTGGCAGCCTACAAACTGTCTCCAAAACAGGCTTGTATGTTGCTGATCAAGGGAACCTCTTTGTTCCTGATATGAGCAGACTCGGTTACGTACAGAGACTAGTCTATTGGATCTTAGGATGAGGGACTATAGGAGATTGGGTCTTGTGCTGCTTATACCTTATAACGATGTATGATTGAATTGTACCATGAAGAGAAAGGGTACAATGAAGGTGACATATAACAAAGTATATAAAGACAAGCTTTACAGTTATAAGCATATCCTTATAGAATGATCCAAGATGAGATCATAACATTACTCCCCCATTAATGCCCAAGCCCCTCTTGCAGCTCTGCAATCTTTCCACGATTCAGTGTTAAAAAACCCTCACTTTCAGGGAAAAAGCTTGAATCTCTCACTTCTTTCTCCGTGTCCGTTTGTATCCATTTTCGGCATTTGGATATTTGATTTTGAAGTCATTTAATAAATCTTGAGCGTTGCTTAAGGAATCCTCTTTTTCCCAAGAGTCTTCTTCCGGTCCATAACCTTTCCAGCTCAATAAATATTCCAAAACTCCTCTTCTCCTTCTACAATCTAATATTTCTTCAACCTCAAATTCCTCCACACCCTCTAATACAATTGGCTCCGGTGTTGCTTGTCTTCTTTCTTCAATTGTGTCCGGAATAAACTGCCTTAACAAAGAAACATGAAAAACAGGATGTAAGCATTTCATTGACAATGGTAGTGTCAGCTTATAAGCAACAGGTGAAATCTTCTTTTCTATTTTGAAAGGTCCTAGCCATTTATGGCTAAATTTCGCCGTTGGCCTCGTTGTCGATAAATTTCTACTACTCAGCCATACTTTGCTACCTTCCTCCCATTCTTCCTCCTCCTTTACGTTTTTGTCATAATTCTTTTTCATAATGTCTTGGCTTCTTTTCATATGTGACTTGATCTCTTCTTGTACTTCTGTTAATTGATTTAACCTTTCCTCGACCGCCATCACACATCTTTCACCATGAATTAATCTTCCTAAACTTAAATCGTGGCCATAATTACTCTTGAATGGTGACATACCAATCGCTGTGTGATCTAGATTATTTACGGGATACAAAGTAGAAACCGGGTTTTTTTTCCTGGTTTCCGAGTTTCCCAACTTCATTTCAGAATCTGGGAAACTCGGAAAAAATCAAGAGCCCCAATTTTGACTTCCATGTTGTCAAACAAGATCTCCACAACCATCTCCGCTCCACACTTCGATCACGGCACCATGATCCAATCAGAGTCCGAACTACCCTCTGACTCATCATATTATTGATGATCAACTCATCCTCCTTACACAAAGACTTTGAAAAAAAGTAAAAGGAAACTCGGTTTAAATTTGATTGCAAAGTTCTTAGCGACTAAAAAACATGTATCTGCTAATTCCCAATACTTGAGACTATAGGCACCAAATCAAAGATCGAATAGAGAAAGAAAAGATTAGTATAAAAAGATTGATGGAAACAAAAAAGAGAGGTAAAGAGATGAACTAGTAATCGATCATATAAAGTGATACGAGTTCTGAAGTCGATGTTAGCATTACAGAGAGCGTAAAAGAAACTGTGCTCTGAAACGATCGGAGCTACTGGTTCTATCAAGTGGTCTTAATTCTAATCAACCAACCCAAAGAGAAGGAAAAGTCAGTTTAGTGAAAGATGATAAAAAAGGGATTAAGAGAACAAAAAGACTCCACGTGTGTTCCGAGCAAGAGCCGTTCTTGCATAACTGGAAGCTGGTATTGACTTTTGAAGTTTTCAACTTTTGACGGTCAAAATGAGGCATGAGAGGATGGTAGTGGATGGAGGTGTGTGGTGAAGGAGGACCTGTCAGTTGAGATCAAAGCGGATTTGAGATTTGGAGTTGGCAAAGATGGGAAGTTGAAGGCGTCCAGGGATTCAAAGTAGAAAAAAATTGGGAATTTTGACCCAGATTCCGAGTTTCTCAAACACAGCCAAAAAGTCCGAATTGGGAAACCCGGAACAAATCCGGGTTTCTAGTTTGTATCCCGTAATTGTAAGAGAATTCAAAAGTTGATAAGTTCCTGACCCAATTGCTTTGATCATAATTAGCAAAATGTCTTATATAACCCTCAACACTACGGTTGGATACCTCGGATTGACCGTCGGTTTGCGGATGAAACGCCGTAGAAGGTTTCGTTGCGATTCCTAACTGGGCGTTCATTTCCCTGGTGATTCTACTGACAAAGATTGACCCACGATCCGACACTATGCTTTTTGGCGTACCATGAAGTTTCCATACGTTGTCGATCAACAAGCGTGCAAGACCCATTGAATCAGTCGTCTTATTGCAGGCTATGAAATGCCCCATCTTCGTCAACCTATCAACCACAGTCAAAATTGTGTCTTTCCCCTCCGACAAAGGCAGATCAGTAATTAGATCCATGCAAATGTCAGTCCACGGGCCAGCCGGGACAGGCAAAGGTTTCAAAAAGCCGAAAAGTTTTGTGTTTCGTGACTTTACTCTTTGGCACGATGAACACCCATCAACATATCTGTTCACATATTTCTTCATCGACGGCCAGTAAAAGTTTCTTTCCACCAACGATAGTGTTCTTGCTTGACCCGGGTGTCCGACTAATCTGCTATCATGCCTCGAACGCAGAATTTCAAATTTCAGTTTATCATTTTGTGGTACCACTACCCTCTTACGGAAATACAAAAGCCCTTCTGAAACTTCATACTCCTCGTCTGAATTATCTTCTTTTGCGTTTTGCAATGCTATCGATTTGATCAAATTTTGAATACATTCGTCATCTTTCATTTTGTTCTTCAGTAAAGTCATAATCATTTCATCATTCCAAATTTCATCGTATGACAATAATGCACCAATTTCAATACACTCTTTGTTTTCGAAATTGTCTTCAAAATTTTGACCTCCTACTTCATCTTCAAACAACAACTCAAAAGAATCAATAGCAATATCAGCGATAAAAGTATCGTGACGCAAGTTATCTGGCTTTAACAATTGGCCAAATGTCAACTTATCCTCCACCGCAGGACGCAAATCAGGTCGTCTTGATAAAGCATCTGGTTTTTGAGACTGCTTCCCCGGCCTGAATCTTATCTCGAAGTCAAAGCAGCCAAGGGTTTCTGCCCATCTGGCCTGCCGACGTGTTAATTGCTTTGTCGTCATGAAGGATTCCAAATTCTTGTGATCTGAGTAAACTATGACATCCAATCGGTTTGGGTTACCTTCCAAATAATGGCGCCATTCTTTGAAAGCAGCCAAAATTGCCAACAATTCTTTGTCGAAGATCTCGTAGTTCCGTTCCGCTGGTACTAGAGTTCTTGACAAGAAAGCGACTGGGTGTAACTCTCCGTCAACATCCGAAATTTGCGACAGCACTGCCCCTAGAGCGAAATCCAAGCAATCACATTCTAGAACAAAAGCTTTATAAGGGTCAGCGATCTTAAGCACAGGCGCAGTAGTGAATAATCGCTTTAACGTGTCAAAAGAATTTTGTCGTGCTTGAGTCCATTCGAAAGTTGTCCCTTTCTTCGTTAATTCATGCAACGGGCGAGCTACCTTAGAGAAGTTATCAATAAGACGTCGGTAAAAGTTTGCAAAACCAACGAAACTCAATACTTCAGACACATTCTTTGGTGCTGGCCAATCAGTTACAGCCTCTACTTTCTTGGGGTCCATCTTGATCCGGTTTTTCGAGATGATCAAACCTAAATACGCGATTTCAGATTGTGAAAACTTGCATTTTTCCGGTTTTAAGCATAAAGATTGATCCTTGCAAACTTGAAGTACGTCTCGAACAGCATCTTTATGCACATTAAACTTCTTGGTATAAACCATCATGTCATCTAAAAATGCTGTAACATCTTTCCCAATCCTGTCTTTCAAAATATCCTGAATAAAAAATTGAAAGTAGCCAGGTGCTCCGGTTGGGCCAAACGGCATGACCAATGGTTCGAATTGTCCTGCTCGACAGATGAACGCCAATTCTGCTTCATCCTCCTCAGCAACACGTAAGTTGTTGTAGCCATTTCTCATATCCAGTGATGTGAATTCTTCTGCATCAAGCAGGCTATCAACCAACTCCATCGTAAGCGGCAGTGGGTACTTTACCTTCACTGTCATTGCATTCAGTTTCCAATAATCAAAACATGGTCGTAATTTACCATCTTTCTTTCCGGTAAATAAGACCGGTGCACCCCAAGGCGATGTCGAGCGTCGTATTGTTCCTGCCTTGAGTCCTTCTTCTACCATCTTGTCAAGTGCTTTGTTTTCTGCTGGGGATAAAGGGATGATCCTTCCAGCATAAGGAGATGCACCTTCCACCAGTTCCACTCGGAAATCGTACTTCCGACGAGGCGGTAAACGCAGGGATGCCTTCTTTTCGAAAAGCGGCAGGAAATCATGGTATTCAACCGGTACCAGGTCAGCTGCGGACTTCTCTTCTAGAAGTTCCGGGTTGGATGCAGCAAGCTCTGCCGACTTGCTCCACGACGATTTCAAAGTGTCCACCTTCACGTCTTCAGATCCTGACTGATCAATATTGTGACGAAAAAAATTGCTAGCCACGACGTCCTCAACATCATCAAGAACAAAGAGGAAGTTCGACTCACTCGGCGGGGGTTCTGCGTTAACAGATGGGCATATAGCCGCTACCCCCGAGTCACATGTGCTAGTTTGGCCTCCTAGTCCTCCTGAATGGCCGGCCTTGGGCGCATCGAGTGACTTGAGTGCCTTCTTTTTCTTCCTCCAAAAATGACGATTCTTGCACTTCTTTCTTCGTTTAACCTTGTTTGGACGGTTATCCTGTTTTGAAGGAGGATCCTTGCCAGCGATAATTTTTACAACAGATGGAACAAGACGGTTAGACTCACTCGGCGGGGGTTCTGCTTTAACAGATGGGCTCATAGCCGCTACCCCCGGGTCACATTTGCTAGTTTGGCCTCCAAGTTCGTCTGACTGGCCGGCCATGATCGCATCAGGTGACACTTCTTCATTATTGACTTTATCTGGCACGTCAACCTGTTCTAAAACAGAATCCTTGCCAGTAATAGTCCTCTTGTATACAGAAATTGAGCGGGCAGACTCACATCGCGGGGGCGTAACAACCGATAAACGATTAGCCCCCTCCTCAAGTTTCCTAGCTTTGTCCTCAATACCCTCCTCGGCAGGGACCTTTGGCGGACTTGAGGTGATGCATCCAATCTTGCTATGGGCCCAGTCAACTAGATGACCATATCTTCTAAACCATGGCATACCTAAGATGACGTCGTACTGGCCTTTCAAGTCTGCTACTTGAAGTTCTTCTGTTTCTTCTTTGTTCTCAATTTTCAGCTCAATTTTGAATTTAATGAAACTCCTCCTCCCGTCGAAGGCAGTCACCTCTCTCCAATTGGGCAAATCTTCTTTTTTCATTTTCTTCTCATCAACAAACTTCTCCTTAATGACATTGTGAGTTGATCCACAGTCAAGTAGGCAAAGAGCTTTATGGGTTACGGCTTGGGTGGGATCGTGGACGGAGATGCACTTAAAAAGTCTTGGGTCTGAATTACTTAACAATTTATTTGCACCAACACCAACACAAAAACCACTAAAACTGCTCAAGGGTGGCGTAACGTTCACTCCTGAGCACCCCCATTTTTCGACTCTACAACACTACTACTGGTCATACTACTACTTCCTCCTCCACTACCACCGATCATAACGTCTGAAAATTGACCCTTGAAACCTTTGTTCTTCCCCTTATTGGCCTTGGCTTGAGTACAGCAAGATACCGAATGACCCGCCTTGCCACAATAGAAGCATAGATTTTCCTTCTTGCGGCGTTGATATTCCGGGTAAGAACAATTGAAACGAACCGCTGACAAGTCCATAGCATCATCAGATCTCATCACACTTCTAACACCTCCGCTATCAGCTACTCCTTGAACTTCAATCACTTTTTCCTCTGATCCCTCATGAAACAAAGAAATACCGTCTCGATTGGGATGCAACAAGTGATCCACTTCAATCGCCGCTTTGATCAGTTGATCCAAAGTAGAGGAATTGTCCCTAATCAACGGAACAGTGATTTCGGGCTTGAGGTGTCCTTTAAAATGACTCATTAAGGTCGAGTCCTCCCAGCTAACAATACTGGCAAGTTGATTGAAGCGAGTCGAGTATTACAATACTGATTTGGTTTGCCATAACGCTCTGATCGCGTTCTCGGCCTTGCTTACACGATGTGGATCAAAGTAGGTACCTTTGAATACATCTAAAAAGCTTTTGAAGGTGACCGATTCCTTGTCGTCGCCAATGATTTTGCGAACAAAAGGAGCGGCCCAAACACTAGCGTCGCCCGTGAGATAAGATACGGCGAACGCTACTTTGTTGTACTCGGCGGGAAATGAGCGTTCGTTTGTTAAAACATACAACGAAACCTGTTGTATAAACATCTCAGCCTTAGCACCTCTCTTCCCGTCGAACTTGTCCGGGGTAGCCATCTTCGCCATGTGAGCAACAGGCGCCGGGATGTGAGCTACAGCTTGTGACACAGCAGGTTGAGTAGCGGGATGAGCAGCAATAGAAGCCTCTAAACGAGCTTCTGCTGCAATTCGTCGCGCAGTTTCCTCGTGACGAAGGTTTGTCTCATTGATAAGACGAGCGTTGAGATCCTGGATCTGTCAAGCGATCTCATCTAAGTTGGCCATTTGACCGGTTGTTTCAGCAGTGTGTAACGAGGAATTAGAATTCGATGAATTGTGCGAATCCTGAGAATTCTGATCGTCGTTACGAAGAATCCCGTACCTCGTCGTCTTTAGATTACAGGGAGACTAGACTGTATTCGAAGAGTATACAGAGAGTGGTACGAAGGGATAGTTGTATCAGTTGTATTGATTGTATCGGTTTGGTTGTGACGTCTTGTGACGTGTATCGATTGTATTGGTTTGTTTGTGTCGGTAAGGTTTGGTTCAGATGATTGTGGCGTTGGTTTGTATGGATTGTCGAGATTGGTGGCGTTGGTTTGTATCGTCGATAAGGTTGTGACGTGAGATGAGGTTTTGAAGCTTAGAGTTAATATTGTTTTGTTCTACTAGCGTCTGTACTTAAAAGATGGTACAATGTGATATGAGCAGACTCGGTTACGTACAGAGACTAGTCTATTGGATCTTAGGATGAGGGACTATAGGAGATTGGGTCTTGTGCTGCTTGTACCTTATAACAATGTATGATTGAATTGTACCATGAAGAGAAAGGGTACAATTAGGGTGTTCAAACCTGTGCAAGAAATGTGCAAGACCGACGTGCAAGATCCGTGCAAGATCCGTGCAAGATTTTTTGCACTAATCTTGCACAGTAATTTTTTTGACAACCCGAGTTATTGTGTTCCAAACCGTGCAAAAACCGTGCGAGACCGACTCTTGCAAGTTTTGTGCAAGATCCGTGCAAGTTCTATTCATATCTTGCACAGAACTTGCACAAAACTTGCATGAATTGATTTTGAGGTTTGAACACCCTAAATGAAGGTGACGTATAACAAAGTATATAAAGACAAGCGTTACAGTTATAAGCATATCCTTATAGAATGATCTAAGATGAGATCATAACAGTTCCCTCCCATAGCCACACCATCAATGCCTTAACCCACACACCATCAACCCCTTATGGGTTAAGGCATTGATGTTGAGGAACATGGGGAGGAGCTCCCAGACCAAAGAATGGATTCTAGGAGCTCTCCCGTTGTCAGAATAAAAAAGGGAAGGCTACAACCACGTCTATGGGGGCAATTGGGAAAACTGGACCTTAATTTCACAGCCTCTGGTTTTACATTCCCTGAAGACATTTCCTCTTACCATCTTCTGCTTGCTGAAAGACTGTTTGACCTCTCGCCAGGCCGACCAGACAGCCTAACAGCTGAATTCCGGCCGAAATTCCAGTGTTTGGCCAGATTTCGACACGACCAACTTTTTGCTTGTATTCCGACAAAAATTTACCCCGTGGTGTACAGATTGTTTGTTGGAGCTGTGACACATGATCAGCACGTGACACCTATTCTTGTCTCTAGAAGTGCGCTCCTAGTCCAAGTAAAAACTAACGGTTTGGACTTCTTGACCTTTATTTTCCAAATCCACAGTTATGATGTCATAACTCTTTACTGTTTCACCAAATCCCAACATCTCATTCCCATGGTGTTCACAGTCGTAGCTGTTACGTCTTCAACAGTTCTTCACCATTTTTCAGCACCCACCCACCCTTATTCCCAATTGCTAGGACAAAGTGTGCTTGTGAGTTTTTTGTATGGTGCGGTTTGTCTTATCAGTTGTTTAAGTGGTGTCAGTTTCTCTTTTTATATATATTTCTTTTTTGAAAAAAATGTTTTCAAAATTGTTTCAGTTAAAGTATTTTTTAGGTTATCTCAGTCTTATCTTTTTATATTAGTTTTAAAGCTTAGGGCCCGTTCGGCTACACTTGTAAAACTCTATAACATGTTATAGACCACCAAATCTAAAAAGCCTTTTTCATTCAAAATCTTTTATGAGTTTCGAAAAAGACGTGATGTTCGGCAACGATATATGATCAATATATCAGATCATATATCACGATATATTCAACTGATCTGAAAAACAGCCTCAAGGCTGTTTTTCAGACAAAAAACAGCCTCAAGGCTGTTTTTCAGACAAAAAACACTTTTTGCCCCTCTCTTGATTGAACTTTGTCAAGTTCAATCACGATCGTGGCAATCTTTTGATAGCTGTTTTGGACGACTGTTTGGTAAATCGTATAACCAAATTACACTTTTTGGGAAACGCAGCCAAACGGGCCCTTATGCTTGTGTCTTGTTCTTAGCTGGCAGTTATTGTACCGCTAGCCTCCCCGTAGAGGTTTTATATTTTTATCAAGAGTAACTGATCTTCCCTGGCAATGAGCCTTGGGATTGGCCCAAAAAATTGTGCACTGGTATTTTTTATACCAAGTATTGGTGAGTTAAGACATCACATTTCACCATCAGCATATCCTCCATATCACCAAAACACACCTCCAATCAATGAACCACCTAATGGACACACCTCCAATCTCAATTAGATGCGCTTCCAAGGTTCAATGAATCCCTGCACCATTCATGTGGCTTATTGCCATCATCGCACCGCTAATAACGGATATGATTACAAAAATCCTTTCAGATATTTTACCCAAAAGGAGTACAATCTATCCTTTACTCTGTACAATGTCACCAATACTGGAACCACTCCGCCCCCAAGTGCGGTTGCAGAGCAGCTTTGGAGTGTTTTCCTTTGCCGCTCTGTGCACCGCAAATTAGAGCAGAGCAATTGCTCCGCTCACCACCCTGGCTGGGCCTCCCTGCTCTATAGAGCGGAGCAGACAGAAACCCTGTACCCAGGCCTGGTCAAGGGTACAAGTTGTATATAGCTGGCTTGCCTCTCTTGAATCTTCCTTATCAGATCCAATTTCTAGATCTTCAATTCAAGGTTATTTAGTTTATTGTGGTGCACCTCAAGCTGATTGTTCAATGTTTCCACATCCTCAACCTTTACCTGACAGATTTCAATTTGCTAATCTGATATCATTGAGCTCATCACAAACTCATTCATCATCATAATCAAGAGGAGCAATCAAAGTATGGTGAAAACTGATCATGATTCAATCAATTAATCCTTCACATGCAGCACGTAAACCAATTAAAAATGGAATGCTTGAAACTCCAATCAAAAATTTTTGTCATCTAATTCTTATCTGATTTCTCATTTGGCTGGCATTTTTGATTCAAATCTCTTTCCTATTTTGGTCTAGATTCTGATTTTAATGTGTTTTCAGAGGTTTCATGTAGTGTTCATATTGTTGGACATTAGTTTAAAGTACATTGTTTTTATTGTGAAGGATGGTCATCAACTTTAAATCAATTTTTCTATTATTTGAGAAGAATTACATATATATCTAAATATGAAAAAGGCATGATTGAAAGTTCAATTCCGACTAATCAAACATTATCATATTATTCACAACAAAGACAACAAGGACATCAGAACATTATTACAAGCTAAACAGATGGTATATGAAAATTATTTAAGAGATGGATATATTGGATCAGAAGAAGATTAGAAAGATAGAAGTCAAGATGTGAATATAGTTATATTATCTATGCTAGTTCATATAGTTCTTCATCTATTTTACCTAGTTTACTTACTCAACTTTATCACCTTGAAATAAATGTCATCTTGTGTTTTTCTTACTGCTCAAGCGCTAAAAGGCGCGGCGCGCAGAGCTAGTTGAGCAGTTTTATTGGTCCACTCCACCATGAGCCCAAGAAAAATAAAAAAGCAGAGGCAGTGTGGTGCACTCAAGTGCAGTACCTCTGCTCTGCACCCAAAACTGGTCAAAATCCAGAGTGGTGCGGAGCGGTTCCAGTATTGACTCAAGACTTCAAATCAGATGAGCAAATAATTGAACAATATACTATTGCCAGTCAAATTACTAATAGTAATGATCAAGATCCTCAAGTCAACTTGGATGTAACAAGGACAGTTTATGGTCTTATCTCTTTGACACACATTACGGTCATGGTCAACAACCTTTACGTCAAGTCATTCACACTTTTTGGAATGTATTATGAAACATGTGATTATTGTCAACATTACATCATTGTTAAGATTTTAATTGAATCTTTGCACCTGGCTTTCCTGTTTGAGTTGATTTAATTAATTATTTGTTTTTTATAAAGATTAACTGCTTATCTGTAGACCAAAGCCGTAAGTAAATCAACAATTCATCAAATTATGTTGAAATCTGGGCTTAAATTAAATTGGTCCTGAATGGTCTTGAGGGTGTGTGTTGGAGAATTTAACTCCTGAGACTGAGTTATCTTTCAAAACCAGTAAGGCTCAATGTACTTAAAACACTTGATCTCAACTTGTGAAGAATCTGGAAGGAAGAGATACTAAAGTTGAAATGAAGGCTTTCATTTTGTTATGTGAAGAGGAGGTTGGCAGAAAACTCTTTCCGCATTGGGATAGATTAAGGGGGAACTAATGCATTGTTGTTGTGTTGGGTTTCACTTGTTCTAAAAATTTGTCTTATTGTTTTTCTCTTATGAACCTGTCTCTCTTCTCCCTATCGAATCCTTTTTACCCATTGAGGAATTGGATTTTAAGGGTGAGATTGGTGCTAGTTATCTTTTTCTTTTTCTCAACAAGATCTTCACTAAACCACTTCAATTGCTGCATCCCCTATCTTACTTTACTTGGTTTTGTCTTCTCTTCCTAGTGTTTCATTTTCATTTTCATCCCTCCTCATTCCTTCATCCAGGTTCGTACGAGTTTAGTACTTGTCTTTTCATAAGTTGTTAGCCTGTCTTGTCAACACGGCTAAAATTGGTTGTCACCTTTATAAAGGTTAGTAGTATTACTTGTGTGTGGACCCCCCATCGAGGAATTGGATTTTGAACTGTTTCATTTTCATTTTCATCCCTCCTCATTCCGTCATCCAGGTTCATACGAGTTTAGTACTTGTCTTTTCAAAAGTTGTTAGCCTGTCTTGTCAACACGGCTGAAAGTGTTTGTGACCTTTATAAAGGTTTTTGTCTTACTTTCATAGAGCTTAGTGACTCTGATTGTCCTTGTCTTCTCACATCAACTAATTTCTCTAACACATCTCATATCGGGCCCTGGTCCCAGTCATGTACAGCAAGACATCACTGACCTGAAGCAGATCATCAATCACCAAATTGAAAGCACTTACTGGATCAGCACTCTGAACATCTGCAAGGATCATGGTACATGTTGGATGGATAGTGTATTACACCAAGATCTCACTTTTGAGCTTGAACAACCGGGGTGATAAGTATCTATTGATCAGCTTGGGTTCTCATCTTCTGGTAGCTAATCATGAACTGTAGCTATGGTGGCAGAGGCTTATAAATCATATATCAATCTCTTTGTTGGAAATTCCTACGCCCCCAAGCTCCAAACCGGCTTGTACACACCAAAGTTGAACCTCTCAGTACTGAAGGCTTTGTCTGCACAGTTTTGGTTCCCGAGGTTTCTTTGAGACTGATTGTGGAAGATCTTGAGCTATCCACACTGTGAACATCATTCAACTTCCCCAAGTTGGAAGGGAAAATGATTAATATTACAGTTTGCCATAATTGGATCCAATACTGCACACCTGAGCCATAATGCCCACAATACATATGTCCAGCAAGCTAATTAAATAGCTGTCTATCATGTACATACAAGTATGCTCAGTTTTTTGCCCATCAGAATAAATAAATCACATGTTATACCACATGTTATTTTTTTGACTTTGAAAAAATTGTCCCAAAAATTCAATACATATAATTCTGTAGCTGCTCAGGCAATATTGTTGAAGCTATTTCTTAGTAACAGAAAGGGTGTTACATGCAGTTGGGTTGATGTGATTACACCAAAATGTTGAGTCAGTGTATGTTGTCAATCTTTTGAATGCTTTTCTCAATCTGAAAAAAGTTACAGCATGTATTGCATATGAATAACTTATCCTGATGAGCAGATAACTGAGCAGAACTGTATGTACATGTTAACTGCCTATTCACTGAGCCTGCTACACATATGTAGTGTGGGTGTTATGGCTCAGGTGTGGAGTGATAGATCCTTTTATGACAAATCATACTCCCAATCATTTTTTCCTGCCCACTTGAGGAAGTTGAATAATGTTTGCAGGGCCATGTTGGACCCTGAATTTAAAGATACACTCTATTGCTAAATTTAGCAGCAGGGGCCTGATTTGTACTGCACTGTCAACCCCATAGCCAAAAATCTTTAGGGCTGTTGTCAAATTTTGAGCTTTGGTTGCCAAATTTGACAACAATAGTGGTGGGCCCCAAATTGCCGCACTTGCCAAACCTTATACTTCACATGTGTAAACACACCCATACTACGCCTCAAAGTATGCGTAACCCATACTCTGTACTGTATTGGAGCCCACACCACTGCATTCCAAGTGGTTTGGGGCCCCACTAAAATTGGGGTTGGTTGATTTGGGGCCCAACCACTGTGGATGCTTTCAGGGTCCAGGCAAAACTTTTTTTGCTTGCTCCTTCCCTCTCCCCCAACTTGGTCTTTCCCGCTCAGGGTTCTTGTTGGAGTAAATTGAGTCTGTCAAGAACTTGTCGTGATGTATATTCACAAAGTACTTTCTCTCGAAGTTGAATGTTATATGTATTCAAGATATTCATGAAGTGCTTTAACTCGAGGTCGAGTTAACTTAGTATGTCTCAATGTTAACAGTGAGAAGAGGAGCGAGCTAGTTGAAAGCTTATTGATCTTCATAGTGATTTAATTCAGTGGTCGGAGTAAGTCGAAGGAGGAGTGAAGGAGTGTGTGCGGATGTAATTTTTATTTGAATGTTCAGTTTTTCTTATACGTGTTTTTCTTCTTATATATATATGTTCCTCTTTCCACCTTCAGAATCTTTTTCTCTCATCGAAGAAAAAGATTCTAAAGGTAAGGTCTTTTTGTGTTCTCCTTTATCAATTAAATACTGGTATTAAATAAATGAGTCTCTTTATCTTTTTGTGTGTTACATTGTTAGTTTCATCTTACTCTTCGTTCAGGTCTGTTGAGTTTTGTACTCCGTCGTCTTTAAGTCATCAGCCTGTGTCTCGTCAACACAGTAGCTGATAGTTATATTTTATCACCTTTGTCAAAGGTTTGTATGGTTGTTTTCTTTTCATGATATGATCAAAGAAAAAGATTCTAAAGTTTCATCTTACTCTTCGTTCAGGTCTGTTGAGTTTCGTACTCCGTCGTCTTTAAGTCATCAGCCTGTGTCTCGTCAACACAGTAGCTGATAGTGATATTTTATCACCTTTGTCAAAGGTTTCTGTCACAGTTTTGTTTTATTACAGTTCTCACGCGCGTGTATACACTTCTCATTTCACTCGCTCACTAACTCTGTCATTCAGAGTCCTATTTCCTTGGAAATGTCCTCACCCGCCCTCCACTCTTTGGTTAGTACCTGTAAGTAATCCAGCCCTGTGGTAAGCTAATTGTAGGAGATGGTTTCTACTGATGATACTAATATGTTACTCTATCCTGGTAATAGCTCCCCTGGGGTGTGTATAACATGTGTACCCAGTGTAGCCTAGCCCTCCGTGCAGAGCTCCCCGCCTACAGGGCCTGGTTGTCCTACCCCCCTAGTTGATCCAGTCTAGTCACAACCACGACCGCTCTGCAAAAAAAAAATTCAGTTACACAACATTATACACACAACCCCTATAAATAAATGACATGTAATAAGTCATTTTTGGGTTAGGAATAGGGTGTAAGCATTAGAAATGACTTGGCAAGTCAATCTGATTGGCCATTTTTTTCAATTTTTTTCCCCCAAACTCCAATATTTGGGTCCGGGTACCTAACTGGCCTAATATTAAGTACTGAAGTACTTAACTTAAGGCCTTAACTGCCTAGCCTAGGCGCCCGCGCATTTATGTGTCCACTGAAGTATCTACTTCAGTACCTTATGAGCAGCACAAGCATGGCTCAGCACAAGCAACCCTCAGCGCAAGTTCTGCTCATCACAATTCATCACGTACATAACAATGTTGGGTTGTGTACATGGAGATGAAGAAATGAGACATAATATGAAAAAAAAGACGAAAACAGCAAGATAAGACAAGAAAAGCCCTTTGAGGGTCACACATCATGCCAAATCTCATGATGGTGTTTTGTGGTATGCATCAATGCAAGCAGTATCTCTTGGTCAATTTTTCAGCTGGTACCCGGTCATACCAAGTCTTGTGTGTTGAAAATGACAAGGTATCAGTGATGGATAGTGAGTTAAGAAGACAAGAATGATGAGAGACTCACCAATAGACATCCATCTGCCAATTGCCTTTTTGAAAATACTTCCAAATCCTTGACACTGGACACCACTTGTGAACATCCTCAAAGAGAGCTTTTGAGTCCAGGAAGGATTTGCATTTGAAGCTGTTGCTTTGATAGTCCAAGTACAAATCAACAAAGCTGAGATCAAGTGAGTCAAAAGCGGCGATAAGATGCAAAAAAACCTCTACCAAAATACCCTACTTGGGTATTACTGGAGGGTTGAAAATTTGGGTCTCGGGGCCGGCCTGTGGTCGTGACTAGGCTGGATCAACTGTAGCCTAGGTTAGCCTCCCCCAAGAAACCTAGGCACTTTGTATGGAAGGTGTTTGGGGTTGCATAGGACAAAACCACATAACACATGTAATGCATATAACTTGAGAGTTTATTGCATTTGATCATAGATCTGCCATCTAGTCCCCTAGATACCATATAAGAAAATGAAAGGGGGGGTTTACAAATTTACATTTATTGAATTTAATACTCACCCATTCACATTTAAATTCAATCAAAAATCTTTCTTGTATCTCATCTCGAATCTCATGGTAGCTAATTAAATTCCTGGCTCCAAGTTGTAATCTTCAAATTAAAAGACAAATGGTATAAAGACAAACATCATAATTGTAAATTCTACTTTTGAACTTTTCTAAAGAAGTTACATGACTACGAAATTCAACAACTATGACCAAAACCAAACCAACAAACTATCAACCTTCAGAATAGCATGATAAGAAATGATGCTTTGCCCATATCAGACGCGATATCACAGTTGGTTAAGTTCAATGAGTTTGGAATTATCAAACTTCTTTTTTGGAGCTTAGATAGCGATTTCTTTAGCACCGACTGTACCAGTCCTACCACCAACCCCAAACGTGCTGTATATCGTTCAAAAAATAGGTCGTAACAAAACCAATATAAATCATCAAGTGAGAAATAATTATCAAAATCCAGGAAAGAAAACTTACACAGTACCAGAGAAAGTCTCCCCTTGTTCTAAATTAGACCAACTTATACCATCCAACTTGACTAAAATGACTTCACATTTCTAAATACATATGGATATAAGTATCTAAGTTTGATTAGTACTTTTTGAAAGGGAATCATTCACTTACAGTTGATAAGAATTTATAAGATGACTCAGTCGTATTGATTTTTCCAAACAAGTTGAATGATTTATCGAACCGTTTGTTTCCAGGTAACTTTAAATTCACTTTCATCTATAAAACATCCAAAAAAAGAGTTCAGAAAATAAGCTCAAAAAGATGAAACAAAAAAGAAGCAACCAAATAAATAAAAAGTTTAAAAATAGACTTACCACTTGATTTTCAAAAACCACTTGACTTTGTTCTTTAATCACACCTTTACCAAAAACACTTATAATCACAGAAGTAGGAGTTTGATAATAATCAAATCTACAATTTACGGATTCTTCTTGATCTGTTGGTTTTGATTCTTGAATTAAAAATAAATGACTTGATTTTTTACATCCTGAAAGCTTTAAAAACTCATCAAAGTCGAGTACCCTTTTTTTACAACATGAATAACCTTTTGATCCTTCATGAAAGATAGGCTATACGAAAAGAAAGATATGAATCAGTTTAGTGATTCGGTTCTGGAGGTGGTGTTGCAAATGATAGAGATGTGTTTCTTTGGGAAGTTTTGTTGTATAAATGAAACATACTGTACCAGGATGATAGAGACATTCATCGTGATTTAATTCTCCACGTTTTGAACCAGATCCTCCTTTCCATTCTTGACCACAACTTAATCGTTTACATTTAGATCCTTCAGGCACGATCAATTCAGGATCATCTAATAGTTCTTTGACTTCTATTTTCTCTTTTGGTTTTTCTTCTTCTTTTTTCAATGGTTTAAACACATCTGTTGTAGTTTGATGTGGTTTGGTAGTATAGGTTTCTTTAGTTGAATCTGATTTGATTGGATTTAGTTGTTGGGAACCGGTTTGAGAGCTTGCTTTGATTGGTGCAGGTTGGGTTGGTTTTTCAGTCGAATGGGTCCCGGTTGTACATCCTTTGATTTTGATAAATTGATCGAATTCTAGTACTGGTTTGTTGACTGTTTTGCAACATGACCAACTTTTCATTCCTTCGTGAAACACTTTAAATTCAAATCATTAAACGGCAAGAAAATCAGTTGTGAATCTATTCAATCTTGGTATCTTTTGAAGATCAGATCCGGATGGTCTTAAGGAACTTACCTGGATTTCCGGGATGAAAAGTACAATCTGAAGTTTGATTTTGATTTGAATCGAATTCCTTTCCGCAACCTGATCGAGTACATTTTACCAATGACATAATGATGATGATTACTTGGAGTTGTTTCTATGGTTTGTTTTAAAGGCTCTTTAATATTTTTCGCTGAGCTGTTTGCTTGATTGGTTGATTTGATTGGTTGAGTTCGTTTCGTGGTTTTTTAAATTTTTCTGGAAGTTTGATGGAAATTGAGGGAAATTGGAAATCTTCTGGAACCAAGCACTTCGATCGCGATATGTCTTCAAAATTTAAGTCATAACATTCACACTTAATAATATGCTTATATCAGGTATGAGGCCACAGAACAAAGTCAGAAACCAAGTCAGAAACCCTTTGCACTTCCTTCTGACAGCTTCCACGATACATACCCCAAGTCATCCACATCTTTATTTCAAGCAATCAAGCGGTCTGAAGTACACCTCTTTAAAAGTGGAAAGCCGTGCAACCTGATTCATCTTAAAAATTGCAGAGATTTCAATGTTACGCATTCCAGCTCATATGTTCAATGGTCACCAACATAAAGTAGCTTTCAGATTGAGCAAGAGATTTTCACATCTTGACCGCAATCAACACTCAGATACCTCAAGTTCAGTATCAAAGAATCAATGCTGTCTTCTTTAAAGTGCACTCAAGGTTTGAGACTAAGGAATTAAAAATGCAATTGAGGGCTATAATCTTTCTTTTGTCCTTATAGTCATAACTAACAAATAAGAGAAGAAGATTGAAACAAAAGCCACAACAAAGTAGACATGAGGTGCTATGTGTCTCGTATGGGAAAATTACGTGTACTTATGAAGATCATTAAAACTAAAAAAGACAAAAGTCAATGACAAAAATAAACATGACATGAATCAAGGTAATTAGGAGCATGACACCAAGTTACATGTGCTGGATAAGTTCAAGAGTATCGTCATGTCGATCATAATTGCTGACTCATACGTGAAGACCAAGTCATTTGTGATCCTGTTCAAGATTAGTAGTCGGAATATTTTAAGATTTTGAATGGAATCAGTTTCTGAACCAACCAACTTTCAAGATTGATGAGGAATTCTCTTACAGATTTGCTTGATTCTTTCGCAGCCTCGGTATGCTTTGCAGAGTCAGAGGTAACAGGGGTCTCCGTCTCCATGATTCCAGGACCAGCGACCGTGGTAGCATCAGTAACTTTGTCGCCGTTAATCAAGAAGATATAGATCTGGATACCGCCATGAAAAAAATATCGTGTTAGTAAATATCCTTCAAGGAAAATGGATGTGAGAATAGTATTTCTGACCTGGCCATGACCGAGCTTGCCGTCAGTAGGCACTTGACATTTACCGTTGCTGTAGGTGCTAAAGGTAGAGTCTAACCCACTGAGGAAAGCACATTTGGTAGCTCCCTTTGTGTCAGATGCAGAGATGGTAAGGCTGGAACCTGGTGTGAGAGTTCCGGTGATGTTGAGAGCTGGGAATCCTTTCAGGCCAGGAGCTGAACCAGCTGGGCAGCTAGCAAAGAAAGGAGTGGCCAATGTCACTACACCACGAGGTCCGAGAGGTGTATCAAAAGCAGCCGGGAAGGAAGAATCGCCATTGACGAAACGGACAAAGGCGTTGTGTTGAGCTTCGACAGTCAGGATTGAACCGGCAGCGGTCTGAGATGACAATAGGGTATGGTCAGTTCTATTTCTTCCTCACGAAATCAAAAATCAAAACTATGTACCAAGTACCCTCCGTTTTTGATCGAGGCAGCAGCCCCTAAGTAGCCCAATACACCTATCGAAAAATCACCAATGTTCTTCAGCACATGCCATACTCGCGTGCAAACAACAAAGAGAGGGACTAACCGACACCTTCCAAGATCTGCGGTCGCCAATATTCGCGTCCATTTGTAAGAGCACTCGCTCAGTCATTTATTTAGGATCGATACATTGTTCACAAGCTCACCTGAGAGACCGCTAAGAAAGATTTCACATCGCTGTAAAGGAAACTGTATTTACAGGCCTGGGCGGGGGTCGCGCCTGCTGCTTGAAGTGCTGAGGTCAAGAAACTGACGTGAGATGCTTCATCATCGGAGATTTTTTGGAGTGATTGACGGGTCGATGCACTAAATATCAAAGGAATAAAGATCAGTTAAATCTCGTTGAAGTATGGTATTGCCGTATTTCACACAAGAAGAAAATCTTCACAAACCTGAATCCAGCGCTGATGAAAGCATTTTGGTTGTACTTCGCCAAACCTTCTGCGTAGAAGGTTCCTTCCAGATGCTCCAAAGTCAATGCAAAGTTAAGGATATCGGCATCTGTAATAATAGGCAAAATAAATGTCAGGCAAGCTTCCCGGATTTATTAATCATGTCAAGGTCAACAAAACATGTTGTGTACCAGTAAGACCTGCATCGCGTCTGACAACACGTGCGCTGGAGGTAGATACGCAAGCAGCAAGGAACACCGCAGTGGCAAGAGCAGCAGTCTTCATGATTTAGATTTGAGAGGGTAAAAACTAGTAACAAATGAAAGTTTGAAAAGATTGTGAATTAAGTGAAAAAGACCGTGAAGTAATTTGATGTCTGGCTGAGGGAAAAAGCAGAAGAAGTCTGGGACCTGGGTGGGAGCTATATATACCAGCCACAACTGACTGGACAGCTGATCAACCCCAGAAGACTCGAAGGCCTGTGGAGGCAGAGAGTCGGCTCTCAAATTGAGAGCGCGAGCCACGCAGTCATACTTATTGGAATTGATGTGCCTTTCCCACGTCCGAATGTGTCACACCTGTCCAGACACATTGGCCCAGCTGCTACCCATATCCACTTGTCTCGCCCTTGCATCCACTCTGCATCATCTCTACAGTTGCCTTTGAGAAAACCAATACTCAAAAACTTGGTAAGAAAACTATTCATTTTGACCGAGTATCTGTTTTCCCAAACCTCTGGCAAAACCGATAACAATTAAGATGTCGGGAAGCAATTGGGTTTCACAAACATTCATATGCTGTTTTTTTGGTTCTTCATCAAGTAGTCTCTATAAATCCTTGCAATCAAGATGTGTAAGAGCATCCCCAATGCTAACGAATCCGAATGACTGAAACTTACGTTTATGTCAAAAACGTAACGTGTACAGGGTTTTTTTGGCAAAACCCCCTCCAGCGCGGAGGCCAAGATCCCACATGGAACCTTGTGTGCAAACGTGTTTTTTGTGAATTGACACACTCCCAGGCTCAGGTCAGCAAATTTGCTGACCTGGCTGAATATCCTGAATCCCAGTATCCCAACCGTTTTTGTCTATTTGATGACTAATTTTATGATCACCCGTCCAAACTAATACGTATGATGATACCAAGGTCCTTGATTATTATCTCTACTAGGAGGTGCTCGATCATTAAAGTGGTACGATCAAGCACTTTAATGATCGAGCTTAACCTTTTCTCAATCGAAGATGGTGCACTCTTGAGAACCACATGCTCACTACAGGTGAGGTGCATGCAGTCGAGGGAGCCGAGCATGCCAGGGAACCCTCTCGCAGCGTTTTCAGCAGTGATTTTTCAGCCTGAGCCCCGGACCAGCCCCCCGATCGGGGACCCGACGGGGTCCCCGATAGGTCCGGGATTCGGGCGGAGGCTCTACAACCCCCGATGATCGGGGATCCCCGCGAGTCGGGTGTCGGGCGTAGAAATCGAAAAAAATACTATCCGCCGGGTACCCGACGAGTAAAAAATGTATTTAAAACACTCCATCACAGGTAAAAACTACCTAGTCCATTGTCAGGGGAGGCCCTACCAAGCACATGGGAACCTTGCCAGCACTGCCATGGCTGTGATGTGAGGCCCTGAGTGCAATTTAAACATCAAGTGGACACTTTTTTTCGATGTATTTGGCATCAATATCGATAAATGACCCGGTCCGGTGTTCAAACCTGGGTGAGGGACCCTTTTTGGTCCAGCCAGCGAGTCCCCGGCGGGGAACCCGGTCGGGGTTCGGGCAGACAATTTTTCAAAAAAAACTCGTTCGGGGACCCCCGAACGGGCTTGGGAGGTCTCTCTACCCGTCGGTTCGGGGGCCGGGCAAGCCACTACTCGACGGGTAGCGATCGGGGCTCGGGCTGAGTGATTTTGGAGATGTCGTCGGCGTTGGGCTTTCTCTGATAGTGGGCACTGAACAGTTGGATGATGCCACTGCAGAAACAAAGGAGGCAATCAATCGCGGTGGATTCGCCGATACGCAAGTACTCGTCTTGTTGATCGGCGGATGTCCCATAAGCAAGCTGTCGAATAGCGGCAGTACACTTCTGGTAGGGGGAGATTCCAACTTTACCTGGAGTTTACACGTAAGTCAGCAGCAGCCCAAGTAAAAAGTAAAGAACAAGGCAAATTTGACTTGCCAACAGCATCAATGCGCTGGGTGAAGTACACATCATGCTCACCCAGAGCTTCTACGATGCGGACAAACAAACGACGACTCATCCTGAAACGACGACGGAAATGGCCTTCGCCATAGACAGGTGTCGGGCCGAAGTAGTCGGTCATGAGCCTGACGTTCCCTTCCTCAGCGTTTCGGATCAAGTTGGGGGAGCGGCCAGGGTGAGATCCACCTGGCCCCTTGGATTCCTCTAAAGACAACACCAAGCTCAGCATGTCTGAGTTATAGGTGGTTAACGAAGAAAAGACTTGGGCACGAAGAGAGGCAGCAACCTGGTATTGACCGAGAAATTCTAGTACACTGACAGTCATGGTGATAGGAAATGAGGAAAAGTAAAGTAGTATGTACGGAAAAATAGAAAGAGGGGAGGAGGAATGGTTTAAAAAGATTATATGGACAGAAATGACACAGAAAGATAGGACGAAGGGTCAGAGAACGTACAAACAATAAAAGCATGTATATATATCATTCAAGGACCTTAAATCCGCGCTCAATACCAGTCACATAGGGTATCATTTGAACCCGAAGGAGGTCAGAGCTAAATAAGTTTGCGCTCTATGTACCCAGCAATAGGCAAAGAGCGGATAAATAGATCGTAGAAGGGCATTGATAAGTGATCGAGCGGCCTATATGCGCGGCTCCGCGATCGCATATCGGTGAGGGTGGATGGAACAATGTACAACGAGGTAGTACGTAGGAGAATGTCAAGTTTGGATATTTTGGGTTTTGGTTGACGAGGGTTGAACCTCAAAATACCTTAAAGGGGAAATCAGAATTAAGGACAGCTACGCGCTGCAGGGCGCTGTCAGCTGAAAAAAATTACAGCTGTCCAGCCGAGGAAAAATATGATCTGTACAAGTATTCGGATACAGGAACATTGGAGATGCTCTAAGGGTTTGCTATTTGACAGCTTTGGATGCACCCAGATACACTTGTTTACCGTTCAAGTTGATGATGAAATTTACAAATGGCGATGATTCAATTTCGAGTAAAATAAAACAAAAACAGGGTCACGATACCCACCAAGGTATCGGATTTGGACTTGAGAATCCAACGGCGGTTATTAGGTTCGACAGCTTTATTGGTTTTCTGACCGAATTCCCTCCAAATAAGGTTCATTCGTTCAAAAACTATCGGCTTTTGTAGAGTACCGCGCTACACACATATTGGTCGCTTCCATGCTGCGATACCATCTTCACAATGTTACAACATACATAGTTGAAGATTTGATGGAAGCAGGAGAGGTCTTTGAGGTGACCCAAATGGTCGATGGCTTTCGGGAACAACGATTTGAAACAGTCCGACTTGGTGAATTTGTATTGCCCATTGGGGGGTGTGGGAAAATATAGCGGCTCGCATGAGAGCCGGGCTCTCTGCCTCCGCAACCCTTCGAATGCTCTCATCAACCCCAGCAAAGAAAGATGTGAGGAGCAATGTCTGTTGACGCTTTGGGAACGATCGGATGGGAAGCTGGGAAGATTGTTTTGCATGCATGTATTCACCTATCCCCGCGCAGACAGCACTCATGGCCTGAAGGAAGAGAGTTCTATAGTAATGGGTAAAGTGCGATGATGTACGGTCTTGAGCATCACCATCGTGGTGTGCAAATTAGCCCAATTGGATTGTCTGTAATTCCCAACACAACCTGGGATTAAGTCTGTATTCCCTTAATTGCGTGAAATCACAACAGCTTTGCGCACCGTGCCACTATCTGGCGAGATGTATAAAAATGCAAATGGTTCAAAACGGGCTAACTTCTAAAAACAATCCAGGAATTGATGTCACAATAAGATGATGTCAATCACAATTGAGTGATCTCAATGATGTGTTGAGTACTTACTTCCTCCACACATCTCTCATTAAAGCACTTGTGCTGTCACCCAAAAGGAGTAAACTCAACAAAGTCCCACGCTGCGTCTCGCACGCTTCGAGCGCAGCGAGGGACTTATGACAGCGTGCGAGACGCAGCGTGGGACTTTGTTGAGTTTACAAAAGGAGTCAGTTGTGAGTGAATCAAGGTTTTACTCGAACACCAACCACGATTTCCAATCCTGCTTGTCCAACCTTCTCAAAGAGGTGGTATGTAACCTGGACAAGATACTGGATTCTTTTCTCACGGGGCATGTATATTGCTTAGTATCTGCCAATATCTGTCAGTTTTCAAACCCCAACGGTGGCACTCTCACAATTACAAAAATTGCATGCATGAAGACCAACTCTCAAATCCAAAAGGGCACATGGCAAGGGTGTAATGAGCAAGGTCCTGCCCAAGGTCAGAACCAGAAATAAGCAACCCAAAAGAGACCTGCTAGATTTTCTACACCTAACAAAGTTACTCCCTCTTGCCAAGGGAGGTAAATTTGCCAATCCTACAAGGAAAAGCTCCATAAAACTGACACACATAAGCCTGACACAAACCAAGAAGGAGGTCATTAATTCAGACCATCTCACTTGAAATACACCTTCAATTGTCTTTTTCTTGACATCTTGAGATGATATTTCTCATCAATTGAACACAAGGATCCTTGTCCAATAAATGAAGCTGTTCCTATTACATAGTTGATTGGTCATCATGTTTGATCTCCACAGCAGCAAGGGACTAATGGATTAGTGGGAACAAACCAGTACACATGACAACTTCAGGAATTTGAACAGTTACCATGTGAGATTCAAACTGTTATCTGAGAGAGTATGCTTGCTTGATATCTGAAAAAGGAGGCACATGTGTTATATTTGTTTTTTGCATGGAAGACGTCCTCAGACACCAACATGAGAGATTCAAAGAAGAAAAGTAGACAAGGGTAAATAGAGAGTCAGTAGCTGTGAGCAAGCAGGCACAGTCTACGTACAGATGTTAGAGAATGTTAGACATATGCTATGTTGAGTGTTGAG